GGGGCGCATGAGCACATTTTATTATGGGTGCAGGCACATGTGCATGCATGCGCATGTGCTTTTGGCAGGTGATGACGGAAAGGTTAGCCATCACTGATATAGGAAATCCTATGTCTCCAAGGAAACAACTGATTAACAGCCCCCCCCAAATATTTTCAAACTTACATCAAACATGAGGGTTAATCAGACACTTATTTCCACTAGTGGTATTCGACCGGTTCGGCCTGGTTTGTCCGAACCGGTTGCTTCAATGATCAGCTGCTGGTCTCTCCCATCTGCCTTAGCTCTATACTGACCTTTCTTGCTTTTCAACCTCAGCTGCTTCGCACCTGTTGAAGACACAGATAGATGCAAGATTGCAGGAGAAGGTTAGCAGCAAGCCCTCTGCGCATGTGCAAAGTGCGTGTTTGGCGTGTGTGTGCACAAAGCGTGTATGCGCATGCCAAGCACGCCCACCAAGCCATGCCCACCGAACCAGTGGTAAAAAATATTTGAAACCCACCGCTGCTTATTTCAAATTGTAAACGCACACAAGAGCAAATCCACAGAACCCAATTAGCATAAGATGAACCTAATTATGATACGATACAAACGAAGAGACCCAATCCACATCACTTGGTTTAATCAAACCCCTCCTCTGAGGTCAGCAGGTACACCCACCCACGCCCTTCAAGTGTCACCCTAGGGATCAGCACCTACACACTTCCACACCCAGGACAAGCTCCCCTATAAAACAACCTCTGTACCCCACTTCCTCTGTAGATGCCCCCAAGACAAACCTTGTCAAAGCATTTGACTATTATTGTGAGACAACCCAAGAGCAAAACACAGCACACGCAGGCTTAGACATTTAACAGTGGTTTATATACAAGGCATTTATATACAGAAATATACATGGGAGGCAAATACCTGACGATCAATCAATTTTCTTAACTCTGCACGGAGAACTTTTTACAGTGAAGACAGGGCACAAGGAGAGAGAATATGCGCTCTAATGGCTGCCTTTATATAGACACCTCTTAAAGTGGTAAAACTTCTGTGGACCCATTCTTGGTCTTAAAACGGCAATACCAATGCTGATTCATTCTTATTGCATCAGCCTTACACTGCATCAGCTTTACATTGCATCAGCTTCACATTGCATCAGCTTTACAGCAGCTGGTCAGCTCTTAAATCTCAATACCTTAACAAACCTCTTTGCTTTGGGGAATAAAGAAATCACTTTTCCTCAAAGCTGTCTGGATTTCAGTCTGATTTAGTCTTGCACAACCTCGGCTCGAGTTGGAACCCCAAATTATTCTTCTGACACTATCAATGTCCAGGCTTTACAAGCCCCCCCAAGAGATGGTGCATTCCAAGGCAAGCTTGCCTAGTGGTTGCCCTCTAGCTAATTAAAGTGGTCTGTAGATGCCAGGTTAAGTCCAAAGCTCCATCCTCTCTCAGCCAGGGCCTAACTGAAACTTGGGTGGGTGAGGTGGATGGAGTTGCTTAGTGTTGTGGCCTGCCGGCGGCTGATGGAGCTGGCAGCAGAGTTGGACAGTAGTGAGGAGGTTGGGGAGGAACCTGGGCCAGTCCTGAAGGCTAAGGAAGGCTCAGACGAAGGCTCTGCATCAGAGGCAGAGATGGGGCCAGGGCAGGCTGGCAGTCATAGCTGCCTTCGGGCTCAGACAGCAGTGAGGCAGGGGAGCTTCTGGAACCGGCTCCCATCCTGTGCATGCATAGAGCTGCCAGAAGGAAGGAACAATTAAGAACTCAAAAGGGGAGGGGGCTTTTGCAGGAAACAACTCATTCATTCATTTGTTCCAGCCTCATGAAGATTTGTCTGTGTAACCCGGCCCTTCCCTGTCACCACTACGTGTGTGGAAATATTTACCGGGCAGTTTTCCAGGATAGATAAGGTCTGAGCTAATTAGTATACCTTTGCAAGACTGTTTGCCAAACCGTTGGCTGAATGTGAATGCACTAAATTCACTTTCATTTAATAAGAGGTTTTTCTGGGACTTAGAGTTGGCTTAGTGCTTTTTGGGGAAGTTTAGGACAGAACACTTGGACCAATGACCAGTCCTTAGCAAACCATCACAATAGACAGGAAGACGATGGAGAGAGATTGGTTACCTTCCATAGGAATTCCACTGATGTCCCAAGAGACAGACTCTGTAGCTATCTGCCTACGAAGCCAGGAAGTTGCATTCAAAGCCAAATCCTTGGCCAGGGATATTGCAAAGAGACCCTTCTTCTCTAATTCATGGCTTCCCCTTGCATTACAGGGCAAAGTTCAGCTTTGGGTGGACCTGTTTCCAAAATCCCTCGGGCCACCAGGGCCACCATTCAACGTGACCCCACGAAGAGCAAAGAGGTAATGGCCTCCCCTCTCAAGGTTTTTCATGCATGTAGCTTTCCCCATAAACCAGTGTGTTTCTCAACCTCAGCCCCTTGAAAATGAGTGGACTTCAACTCCCAGAATTCTGGCTGGCTGGGGAAAGCTGGGAGTTGAAGTCCACCCATCTTCAAGGGGGCACGGTTGAGAGACACTGCCATTGACCTTAAGAACGTTAAGCCTGGAGGACTTCCAGAATTCCCCAGCCAGAAAAGCTAGCTGGGGAATTCTGGGAGTTGAAGTCCTCCAGGCTTAAAGTTGCCAAGGTTGGAGATCCCTGCCATAGACCATCGGATGAATGTGACTGGTTTCATCTTGCTGAAAATCTTCTTCCTAACTCTAGTTAGCCCTCAAGATGGACAGTGAAAGAAGACCCCGAAGCTTCTCTACCATCACTTGGCCTTTAGAGAAAGGTTGTTTTTGAACACGGAGCCTGGATTTAACCACCACGACCAATAAGTTCATTCCCAACCCCTCTATAGTAGGTGATCTCCAGGATTGCAACCACGAAGGATTGCAACCAACATGGCCTCCTTGCCATGGACAGTTGCCAAGTTGTTAACATAGTGCATGTCCATGGCCAGTATAGTACAAGAAGAACCTCAACATGGTCACCTAGATACTCAGGACAAGCTGGCTCTCAATTGTTGTTGTTAGCTGGGAAGTCATGTCTGACCCATTGCGACCCCATGGACAACGTTCCTACAGGCCTTCCTGTCCTCTACCATCTCAATGGGACACAGCAAAAGAAAGAACATGACTACTCTGAGAAGAAGCACAGCTACCTTTAATTCAAAGGAAGACCACGGGTGACATGATAGCAGTGTTCCAATATTTGAGGGGCTGCTACAGAAGAGCGGGGAGTGTCAACCTGTTCTTCAAAGCACCTGAAGGCAGGACAGGAAGCAACAGATGGAAACTAATAAACCACCTAGAATTCAGGAAAAACTTCCTAACCGTGAGAACAATTAACTAATGGAACAGCTTGCCTTCAGAAGTTGTTCAGAAGAAGTTCTGAAGTTGCCTTCAGAAGCTCCCTCACTGGAGGTTTGAAAGAAGAGCTTGGACAGCCAACTGTCTAATTATGCTATAAGGTCTTCTGCTTGGCCAGAGAGTTGGACTAGAAGACCTCCAAGGTCCCTTCCAACTCTGTTATCCTGCATTCTGTAGGCCAACCGATTCAGGAGAGCAGGTTCATCCCTGGAGGGCTACCGAAGCTACTGAAATGGCTTGTGAATTCTGTTTCTGGGAGGTGGAACTAGGTAGAGATGGCATTTCCCGCTTGGGATGTTCCAACAATCTGGTGGCTTCCTTCTGGGAGGAAGAGGAGAACAGGAAATGTCATGGACTGCCCTGATTTACAAAGCCGATCCAAAGAACAGCCAGGAAGTAGCTGTTCCGTTGCTGGTTGTAGTGAAAGACCCTCCTATATTTCTATACTTGACTTTTCTGCTGTTCTTCTCTTTGACAAGAGACTCTTGAACCCCATCTGGGCTGTGTCTTCCAGGTTCTACTTGCGTTGCATTGTCTGGAATGCCCAAGACGTCATCCTGGATGACCTCAGCATCACCGGCCAGAAAATGAGCGACATCTACGTGAAAGGGTAGGTAGCAGGGCTGGGCTGCTGGGGGGTTCGCGGGGGTTCGGGAGAGCCCCTTAGCTAAGATTCTGTGCAGTTTGGAGAAACCCCAAATCCCACCCCTGGCTGGCCCCACCCACCCTTCCCCTCCCAGGAGTCCCCACGTGGCCCATTTTGGATGCAGGCAAGGGCAGGGCGTGCGTGGAGGCTCAAGGAGGGAGAACAAACGGGCCTCCCGGAAGTTCGAGAAGGCCAGAAATGGGCCCGTTTCCAGCTTCCAGAGAACCTCCGGAGCCCAGGGAGGCCATTTTGGCCCTCCTGAAGGTTTGAGAAAAACCTCCACAGCCTGTAGAGGGCAAAAAACAGTGGTGGGATTCAAAAATTTTTACTGCCTGGTTCTGTGGGCATAGCTTGGTGGACATGGCTTGGTGGGCGTGGCTTGGTGGGCATGGCATGGCTTGGTGGGCGTGGCTTGGTGGGTGTGGTGTGGCTTGGTGGGCGTGGCTTGGTGGGCGTGGCTTGGTGGTGTGGCAAGGGAAGGATATACTGCAAAATCCCCCTTCCCTCCCCACCCCACTAACCTGTTTTCCAGCTCCGTTCTCCTATGCAGGGCAACCAAAGAAGAGCCAGCCGATCAGCTGGGACTCAATGGGAGGCAGAGAAGAGATGGGGGTTGGCGGGACCAGTCAGAGGTGGGATTGGCCAGTTCTCCGAACTACTCAAAATTTCCGCTACTGGTTCTCCAGAACTGGTCAGAACCTGCTGAATCCCACCTCTGGCCAAAATCCACCCCCCTGTTTTGGTGCAGGAGGCTGACTAGGCCACACCCACCCAGCAACCGGGCCGAGAACCCATTGCTAAAATTTTTGAAGCCGACCCCTGGTAGATAGCCCAAAGCTTCATGACAAGGGTACCTTTCTTCTTCTTGTCCGTGGAGATCCTGAATTGTCCATGTTGCAGTTATCCCCAAAGGTGTTTCCCAAAAAGCAACTGGACTTTCCATGAAAACACTCTCTCATCCAAGAAGTTCTGAAGTTCTCACCCGAGGACTGAAGAAGCTTCTTGGATGAGGAGGGGAAAGCACTTTTGGGGGATCCATCTTTGACAAAGTGGCTCACGTTCTCCTGATTTTGGTGGCTGATGGGCCTGGTCTTCTTCTTCTTCTTCTTCTTCTTCTTCTTCTTCTTCTTCTTCTTCTTCTTCTTCTTCTTCTTCTTCTTCTTCTTCTTCTTCTTCTTCTTCCTCTTCTTCCGTGGCTTGCAGGTGGCTGGTTGGTTATGAGGAGAACAAGCAGAAGACGGATGTGCATTACAGGTCCCTGGGAGGTGAAGGCAACTTCAACTGGAGGTTCGTCTTCCCCTTTGATTATCTCCCTGCTGAGCAGGTCTGCTCCGTGGCGAAGAAGGTGAGCATCTGGAAAGGCCGAGGTGGCCCTTGTTGGGAGGCTCAAAAGCAGCTGTGACAGATGGGTCTGGGGGAGTGTTTTGACCCAAACCCTTTTCCAATAAAACGAGCACGAATCAAAGGGAACAGAAACCTTTTAATGATTCTTACGAATCCCCGGTTAAAAGGCTGCTGCAAACTAATTAACTTTGATAAGCATGAGCCTCGCCAAAACTGTGCGAGGCTGCCAAGAATAACAGATAAGAAATAGTTTACAACACAAGAGTCTTCAAATACCAACTGTAATGTCCACAAGGCTGAGTTTCAAAACGTCTTTGCTTCCTGCAAAGAACGTCCGATTCACGGCTGACTTTTATCTTCTTGAAGGAGGGGCCATTACCTTGCAGCCTTACTCCCGAGTCACCCGTGCTGCTGCAGCTGCTCTTTCCTGCGAGCAGCCCTGCGCGCACGCGCACTTGGTACAGGCTCCTCAGGAACCTCCTCATCGCGGCTGCCAGCCCCCACCATCTCTGAAGGCAGCAGTCCACTCCCTAATGGTCCTGGCCCCTCGTCTTAGTCCTCACTCTCTTCAGCCGTCCTCACCTGCTGCCAGCTAACCACAACAGGAAGTCAAGTGGTTGGAGTTTGTGACAAGTTCCCAAGCAGTTATCTGTGTGCAACTTGTTCTTTTTCCAATTTTATTTGGGCTCCGGTCTTTGGATTGGAATGTTAATTTGTGAGGATCGCAAGGAAGAAATTAGGGTCCTCATGCATTGTTTTCTACATGATAGAAGATAATATCTGTAGCTTAGGGTTGAACGGTGGGGTCTTTGGTACTCTCTGAGCTTGGCTGTTTTCTTGCAGACATTTCATGACCCAAGCAGGTAACACCATCAGTGCTAGAAGAGGGTAGGATTTGCTCCCTGTTTATATACTACTAGTGTGGATAGAAGAGAATCTTTGTATCTTAGGGTTGAACTGTGACAACCTTGATGCTCTCTGAGTTTGGTGGTTTTCCTGCAGACATTTCATGACCCAACTAGATAACATTATCAGTGCTAGAAGAAAGTGGGGTTTGCAAAGAGGAGGAGGAGGAAGAGGAGGAGGACGATGATGACAACTGTGGAGTCCTTGGTGCTGTCTTAGCTTGGTGGTTTTCCTGCAGACATTTCATGACCCAACTAGGGAACATCATCAGTACTAGAAGGGAGTAGGGTTTGCAAAGAGGAGGAGGAAGAGGAGGAGGAGGAGGAGGAGGAGGAGGAGGAGGAGGAAAAAGAGGAGGATGAGGATGACGACAACAACTGTGGAGTCCTTGGTGCTAACTGAGCCGGGTGGTTTTCCTGCAGACATTTCATGACCCAATGAGATAACATCATCAGGGAGTGAGGAAGGGAGTGAGGTTTGATCTCTCTACAGAGAGTTCGCACTGCAACACAGAGGTATCTAATCTAGAAATAAGGAGAAATCTCATGGCAGTGAGAACAACAAATCAGCGGAACACCTTTTCCCCAGAAGTTGTGGGTGCTCCAACTCTGGAGGTTTTCAAGAAGAAATTGGACAGCCATTTGTCCAGAATGGCATAAGTCTCCCGCCATGGGTGGGGGGGTTGGACTAGAAGACCTCCAAGGTCCCTCCCAACTCTGTTATTCTGTACTCTGTTACGTAATGGTGAACATCACTGCGGCCTTGCTTGCAATGACTTCTTCTCTATGTTCGTACGCAGGAACATTTCTGGAGCTTGGACAAGACCGAAAATAAAGTCGCACCCCAGCTGGTCCTTCAAATCTGGGACAATGACAAATTCTCCTTTGATGATTACCTGGGTGAGTGGTAAATCCAGGAAGGCCAATTCTAGATTTTTTTCCCATTCTGTCCTATAAATACCTTGCTGCTTGATTGGCCTCTGCGTTCTTCTCTCCTGCTTTAATGTGGTTGCATATTTGAGGTTATCTTGGGGAACTGGTGTTGTGGTTCACCGGCAGCCTGTGCAGACGGCAGCGGAATCGGACAGTGGAGAAGAAAGGGGACCAGTCAGGGAGTTTGGGGAGGACTCGGACGAGGGTCCTGCATCCGATGCAGAGATGAGGCCAGGACCATCTGGGAGTGGGGTGCTGACTCTGGAGCATCCGGAGTCTGGCAGCAGCGAGGCCGAGGAACAAGGGGAGCCTGTTCCCAGTGCGTGTCTGCGCAGAGCTGCTAGAAGGCAAGAGCAGCTAAGACAAAAGGGGTGACTTGGAAATAAGGCTGGGAGGTGATTGCCCCTCCCATAAGGGATAAAGGACAGGCAAAGGTAGAAAAACCTTTGCAGGAAGCAAAGTCATTCATTCTGTTCGGATTAATCCTTGAAGCTCTGTGTGGACTTTGTACTTCGGTTGGGATTTTTATAATTCATTTGGCACTTTAGTTGTTGGCAGCAATTCAAAAGAGAGAAAGGTGGGTGCTTATCTCGAGGGACTGTTTGGGAGTCCTTACCGGCTGGGAATGAAAATAATTCCCAGCGTTGCAATAAAACAAGAGCTGTTTTAACTAAACGTGTGCTTAATTACGGTCTTGGGAAGCCTTGGTCAGAACAACTGGCACCGGGGAATTCATGCGCAGCTCTCAAGTCGTAGAAGAGAAGGAAAACTTGATGTGGTTGCGGGACAGTATTGGAATCCCTCCCTATGTGGGGAGTCTATCCACATCTACAGAAGCTAGTGCATCTTGGGAAAAGGGAAGAGTGGGACAAATGGGGCCTGGGACAAAAGGGCTTGGCACAGGTCAACAGTCTTTTTGAGGGGCCCTGAAAGGCCGCAAGAAGGCAGCCGGCAGCCCTGGGTCTTTGATGGCGTGCAAAAATTGAATTCTGGGCATCCAAGTTGCTTTCAGGAAATGCCCAGCCTCCCCCAGCTAAACCTAAATAGGTAGCCTTCCAGGAAAAGTTTGGCTTCTTTCTTTTCTTTTCTTTTCTTTTCTTTTCTTTTCTTTTCTTTTCTTTCTTCTTCCTCCCTTGCTCCCTCACTCCCTTGCTTGCTTGCTCCCCTCCCTTTGCCTTTTTTTCCTTTCCTTTTTTCTTTCTTTCTTTCTTTCTTTCTTTCTTTCTTTCTTTCTTTCTTTCTTTCTTTCTTTCTTTCTTTCTTTCTTTCTTTCTTTCTTTCTTTCTTCTTTCTTTCTTTCTTTCTTTCTTT